ATTTAAGAAAACCCGTAACTATGAGAACTCAGGAGGGGAGAAAGTAGAGATGAAAACTTGTCTGTCTGCTGTAGCCTCAAGACCCTCTCCAGCACAGACACACTGAGAAGAGCCCATAACCCAGCCTGGCAAGATTCAGTCCTCTCCAGCCCCTTATGCTCAGGGAACAGACCCTCTTCAGTTAATTACCAATTGTTTCAATTACTCCAGTTAATTCTGCTTCTGGACATTTGACCACCACAGCTGCTGCTGCTCCAGCTCTTGTGCCCCACCAGTTTTCCTTGCAACACTCCCTTGCTTTTCTCTGTTACATGCCACTCAGGAGCAAACATGCTCTGTGAACCTGCCCGGGGCCTTCTGTACGGATCTGCCGTAGTTTTGTCAGCTGGGCGCTGGGACAGAGCTCTTGTGCAGGGCAGCTTCTGGGACAGGCAGGGCTTAGATGCCCATGGGCTCTGCCACAAAGAGCCCTGCAGCAGGACTGGTAAACTGCCAGAGCTCAGATGACTAGAACCAGCTCCATCCTGGCTTTGTTTTAGTGGGCCTGCGTTTTATCATGCATTTACTGTCATGAAATAGCTTGGTTCTGCAACTCAGGGAGCCTGTAAAGGGATCTCAGTTTGCACTGTTCACTGAGTGAAATGGAGATTTTTTCTGTTTTCTCACTGATCCCCCCCAGAGGGAGCCCAGCTGGGGCTCAGCAGTCCCACCCACACAGGACCTGCTCCCAGAGGCACAGGGGTGAGGACTGCTCAGCTGCTTTCTACATGACTGCCTTTTTCCAGCTGCACCTTTCAAACAGAATTAGGTTATTTATCCCTTCTAGTGTGGGAGTGTGCATCTGAATGAAATTGGGCACTGCGAGAAAGTGGAATTAGCCTTTTCAGACACCAGGCTCTTGCCTCCCTATCTGGGAGGTGGCAGCAACACAGGCTGGATTTCATACAGTCAGCAGTACCTTGGCAGTAGGAAGGCACAGCCTTAGGTCATGAGGCGGTAAGGCTGTGGCTGACACCTCTCAAGTACTGGGCTCAGTCATAGGATCACAGGACAGTTTGGGTTGGAAGGGACCTTAAAGACCATCCAGTCCCACCCCCCTGCCCCGGGCAGGGACACCTTCCACCAGCCCAGGTTGCTCCAAGCCCCGTCCAACCTGGCCTTGAACACTGCCGGGGGGCTTCTCTGGGAAACCTGTGCCAGTGCCTCATCACCCTCACAGTAAAGAATTTCTTCCTTACATCTTACCTAAATCTACTCTCTGTCAGTTTAAAACCATTACCCCTCATCCTATCACTACCTGCCCTTGTAAAAAGTACGCTACTCCTCACCTTCCCTGTAGCCCCCTTTAAGTACTGGAAGGCCACTATAAGGTGTCCCCAGAGCCTTCTCTTCTCTGG